ATACGAGCTAAAAATGATGTTATGTTTAATGTTAATCTAATAATATGGTATTAATTCATCAGAGATCAGTGGTGACAGCTGAGTAAATAACTTGTACTATTGGGGTTTGCTAAGGCATGCATCATTATTATGATTGCTTATGCTTGAGTTTAGCAATTTGAACAAGTATTAAACTTCGGCATGTTTTTATGAATGTAATGTGATTTTGTGGTTCATTATGAATATGAAAGGAAATGTACCAAAATGCTTCTTGAACTAAATACTCATTTTGTGATACAGACAGATCATTTTAACCACAAAATTAGGTGCCCCTCAACAGAATTCAAGAGTCTGTACTTAATTCAAAATTGTGAGATTTAAAAAATGGTCAGAATTCTTTATTATAAACTAACAATTCTGAGGAAAAAAGTCTGAATTGCGAGATCACAGCTCAAAATTGTGGGATATTAATTTGAAATCACAACAAATAAATTCAGAATTGTGAGTTTTTAACTCAAAATTATGAGATTTTATCTCGAAATTGTGAGATACAAACTGGAAATTGCAAGAAATAATGTCAGAATTGTGTATTATAAACTCAGAACTCAAAAGGTCTGAATTGCAAGTTTACTCAAAATTGTGAGATATGAACTTGGAATTGCAATCAATAAATTCAGATTTGAGAGGTTTTTAACTTAAAACTTTGAGATTTTAACTTGAAATTGTGAGAAATAAAGTCAGAATTATGTATTATGAACTCAAAATTCTAAAAAAAAAAAAAAAAATTCTGAATTGTTATACATAAATATTTGTGCACCCGACATGCATGATTCCTCCAATCGTTCAGCTCTTTACAGAGAGGTTTGCTTTTATTTTCTAGTTGATTTTTGACTGGTGAATGATGAAATGAGTTAAACATTTCACATAGACTCACAAGGCGGCATTCAAGCCTTATCTAGAGACCAAAATGTTACAGAAAGTGCTCACTCCTTACCATTGTGACTTCTGTTATTAACGCCGAATCTTTCTTTTACTCCCAGTCAAGCGTTGCTTGCAGGCCATCAGGTTTATTTTACCCAAGGACACTGCCATGAAAGTGCTGGTCAAGTGGTACAACAGTTACAACGCCCCTGGAGGTCCCAGCATGCACCTGGAGTGGAACCTGTTTGTTACATGCCTAATGACAATGATGGGTTACAACACCGAACGACTGACGTGGACACGCAATGTGAGTCTCTTTAGTTTGACCTCTGTGTCAGTCTTTGTGTTGGGTAACCTTGAGCCTGTGCTGGCGCACAAGGATTGATCAAGCATTTAACGGAATTAAAATTGTACATTTACATGACAAAATGTTTTAAAATCAGATGTCAGGTAAGCACAGAAAACAATTTACTACACATTAAAACTTCTACAAATGTAGTTTTTCTACAAGTTAAATTGCAATTATTGATTTAACCATATATTTCCTAGTACAATTAATTACTGATTTAAAATATTTTTTGTAATTCTATTTAAAAAAAATTTTTTTTTATTTGTGACCCTGGAGCACAAAAGCAGTGTTAAGTCGCTGGGGTATATTTGTAGCAATAGCCAACAATACATTGTATGGGTCAAAATTATTGATTTTTCTTTTATGCCAAAAATCATTAGGATATTAAGTAAAGATCATGTTCCATGAAGATATTTAGTAAATTTCCTACCGTAAATATATCAAAACTTAATTTTTGATTAGTAATATGCATTGTCCGGCGTCTCCGGAATCAGTGGTTTGTTGCTGTCTGTGTTTCTGAATATTGTTTGTTTGTGGCTCAGGGAGAGACGTCCTATATCAGAGTGATGGAGGAGCGGGGCACAAGCTGGGGTCGCTCGCGCTCCCGCTCCAGGTCTCGAGGACGATACTCACCCCCGCTCCAGAGCAGAGGGTCACCGCCGCCCCGTTACCGTTCGCCCCCGCGTCACATGACCCGCCATAGCCCACCCTCCCGCCGAGCACCGCTCCAGCATCACAGCCCGCCCCCGCGCCACTATCGATGAGCGGCCTTCTCCACCGCCACGACCCCTTTTCTTTCTCTATTTTGTAATTTATAGTCCATTGTAGGAACCCAATTGGCCTTATTCACCGTTCAGTTCATGGAGAGCTTGCGAATATGTTAATGATCACGTGGATGATGCTGCATATTTTTACAGATGTGGTTATGATTGTGAAAGTTCTGAAGATGAATAACCTGTTTTGTCCCAACTAAAGGCAACAGACTAAAGATGTGTTTGTGATTAATCTGGTCCATTTCATAGACATCGACTGTTTTATTATTTTTTTTTATAATTTGAATAAAAGGCTGAAGTTTTTAAAATGTTTTTTTTCTTCTGGAATCTCCCCGTGTGATTTTTCTTTCTTTCTTTTTTTTCCTCTTTTTGTATCATGTGATGATTGTATGCATTTTTTTTCAATTAAAGCATTGAATCAAAGTTACTCTATATCGAGTCATTTTTACAAACTATAGTGTTTTGCAGGAATAATGGAAATAATAGCAGAAAACCTGGAAATAGGGTTTAAAAAATGAAATCACTGGATTATCAGTAATAAAATTGTGCATTTTAGTTTATTGTGCATTAATTTAAAAAATGCATTATTGAATGTTGGTTCATGATGCATCAACTGATGTTAACAGATGTTTGATTAACAAATGTTGAAACATTAAGATTATTAAATACTTTAGAAATATTGCTTGTTAGTTACAAAAAAACATGGCTAATATTCGTTTTGTTGGGGTCATTTTGGCATTGTTGGGGTCCTCCCGTTGTGGTCTGTACTTGCGTTTCTGTATGTGGTTGTGTTGTGAGCATTTGCAGCGTGTTTTTGTATTTGATTGTGTTGCGAGTATTTGCAGCACATGTGCTGTCAAACAGATGATGTTTTCTTAATTTGCTTGTGCTTTTTCTATTTGCATGTGTTTTCTGAAGTTGCAGCGCATTGAGCTCTCTCGGCCACCGTACGAAACAGACAAGCACGCCCACAGACAAGACACTTTAGGTCTCAGTTTTCAAATGTTGTCATTATTAAAGAAATTCGAACAAATACAGACGTGTGCAGTGTAAATTGTCTAAGTATTAATGGCAGGGAAAGCCCCTTATATTTGAGAGCGGCCACGTATGAGGTGTTTCTTGGAGGTTATAGTACATTGAAAAATGATCATATGACTTTTTACATATGCCATGAGACCTGTAAATGTGAAAAAAAAAAGTTTCCATTGCAGTTTAGCAAAATATTTCTATTTCGAATTGTCTGAAAACACCTCATACGAGCGTGTAAACTTTTTTTTGTTATATGGGAGTTTTTGCGAAATTGACGCGTTTCCATTAGGTGTATTTTCAATTCGCAATTACAATTTGCGCAATTTGAAGGGAAATGGAAACGCAGCTATTGTAGCGCCTCAGTTCAAGAGGCACGTGAACCAATCATCTCTTCCTCTTTACTAGTTATAGCATGAAATAAACATGAATGAACATTAAAAGGTATCTTGTTTCAACTGCGGAAAGAAGTCAATGCACACCATTTTTCAAAAATGGCAGATTCGCCATTATGATTGGTCAGGTCACCTGTCAATCAAGCTCCCTGCGAAGGGTCATTTGGACTATTTTTACACTGTTGCCGTGGGAGAAAAATAATCTCTCCGCAATTTAGATGGAGAGGAACCCTGATGCCAACCCTGGCTTTGTTACATGTTTCAAAAGTTTAAATTGTGAACCCATGTATTGTAAATGTACATTTTTAACTTACCGCCTGCTGCTGCAACGTGAGTTCCGCTTTCGCGATTTTTGTGTCCTCCTGTGACCATTCTAAAATTGTATATAATTTTCACGCATCAGGGATCCGCTATCAATATGCGGAGTATTGAAATTGGTTGTTCACTTTCACTTTAAATTTGCAATCACGCATGCTCTGTGTAAAGGGGTCAGATATTTGTCAATGAGCTCAGGATCTGTTGAGCAGCAAATCCTGAGCATCGTCTGTCGGTCATCTCTCTTTACTCTGGACCCGTGATCAGTCAAATCTGGCTCCTGCAGCTTGTGTTGGATGCAGGGTTGTCAAGTCCGCTTTTTTTCCCACTGAATTGGGCTACTTTTAAACTGTTGCCATGGGTTGAGAAATTACAATTACCTTTATTTTTTTGTGAAAAAAAGACAGAATTGTCAGAGAAAAAGAATAGCGGAGTTGCAATTACCTTATATTTTTTTTTACAATTATAAGAAAAAAAGTCAAAATATGAGATATAAAATCAATTACAAGAAAAAAAAGTCTGAAAAGTAAGTCACCATTAACTTTTTTTAATTCTGTGAACAAAAAAACAAAAAAAAGATTTGCGAGATCAACTCAGAATTCTGATGGAGAAAAAAAAGTCAGAATTGTAAGATAAAAATGTTTTATTCTTTAGTGCAAACAAAAAAACTAACAAAAATAATTGCAAAATATAAACTCAGATTTCAAAGGAAAAATTTCTGAATGGTGAGAGAAACTTGCAATTGTTAGGGAAAAAAAGTCATGAAACAAAGTTGCAATTACTTTTTTAATTTTTGTTTTTCATGGCAGAAACAAGCTTCCACAGAAAACAGCTGCACCTGGCAACCCAAACACAACTAGTTTATTTTCAATGCACACATGCACAATGCATGTTTAGAAAGCTGACAGCTCAAACATTCCCCTCTCTAATAACGATTCGTTAACAGGTAAAGCACTGAATGTACAGTTTTAGTCTCAACAGTAATTGTCCATCAAAGGGTCATCGATGCAGTCCGAGCATCCTGATGATGGCAACACATCTGTCGCAGTCCATATAAAATAAAACCAAGCCATCAGCGGTCCGCTTTCTCTCTGTTTGGGCCCATGAACTCCACACCTTCTATAGGGATGTCCTTCTCCTTGATGGCTTTCTGTAAATAAACAGAGAGCATCAGTGATTGACAGCAGGCTGCATAGACTCTAAACTGCTGCTGTCCAGATAGGCTGCTCACTAGATTGAGACACAGCCACACGTGTTTTCTCATTCCGCGCACCTCCGAGGGATGATTTACAGACTTGTAATGTTCACATGCGTGTATATAGATATGTGCAGTGCGTGTGGTATTTGTTAAAAAACTGGCTGCATGAATCCGCACTCCGGTCTCCCTTCAGGAATTTCTCGGAGAACCAGCGGTTAAAAATATTGCCCACAACACATTGCGCGGTGGATGAGGATTCGATTAGAACTACAAACACGCATGAAAAGTGTTAAACTACAAACATGGCGAGTATGCGAGACCAACGGACAGGTATAGAAAGGGGTTTGAGTGATAAATGTCTAACCTGTTAAAAATATATTTATTTAATGTTATCCGCGTTATTTAATCTGCAGCAACACTGTGAACTTTATAATGATATGTTTGGTAATTACCTTTTAAATGCATCATTATGCAAACATATGAGCAGAGTTCTCGCCATGAAAGACCCGCGACTGGCAGATCAACGTCCCTCTTAATTTCTCTCCAATACGGTAGGAAATTAAATTTAACGAAATATGGATAATGTTAACTTTGACAAGATGATTGACAGGGCAGTTTAAACAGTAACAATGCACGTAACTAAGCAACAGAGCGTCCGTTAAAGACGCAGTTATGACGAAGTAGTATGTCCCAAAGCTTGCCTACTATTCTGCTACATACTCAAAAGTATGTACTTTTTCTTCACAAAAAGAGTACATACTTTTAGGGCATAGTGTAAGTAGGCGAAGTGGGATGCAGTGACTTGTTTATTCCGTGATCTCGCTTGACTTTGCCGATACCACGTGGTCCTGCATGGCGCACGATGATCACGTCAGCAAAGCGCGTTTAAAAGTCCCAAGGACAAAACTAAAATAATGAAATTAATAAAAATGTTGGTAAGAAGATATAAAACCACAAACGGAAAAACAGTGAACTATTATTTTAGGTTTAGACGGTTCTGTGTTAAATAAATAGGAAAGACTAAAGGTCATTATTTACTGGAGAAACGGAATCATTTCCTTTTGTCAAAAAAAAAAATCATAATAAATAGTTAATACAAATAAGAAAATGCTGGAGATATATAATATATAATAGATGTATGTCAGTAAAAAACAAAGAGGACAAAAGAGGGAAATATTTCTGTTTTAGACTGTTCTGTGTTAACCAAATAAATTATAAAAATAGGAAAGTGCTGAAAGCCAACATTTACTTCTTTATTAAATAAATAAATAATACAAGAAGTCTCCTTTTCAATAATAATAATACATCAAGTAATTAGTCAATAATTACTGAAGTTTAGCCATTTCTTTCTTCACAATAATAATAATAATAAATTAGAAAAAAGTTAATAAAAACAGGAAAATGGTAATTAAGGACAATATTTACTAAAGAAGAACCATTTCATTCTGTACAATAAATAAATAATTAAATAAATAAAATAGAGATGTGCTGAAAATTAATATTTACTGAAGTAAGCTAGAAGTATTTCATTCTTTGCAAAATAATACAAATTAATAACATATAAAAAAATATGTAAGATGCCTCGTGTTAATGCACTTTTTTTTTTCTTTTTTTTTTTTATTAATTTGATCTTTTTCATGCAGTTATGTTATGCATGAGAATGTAATTTGTATCTTGCTCGGTATTTCATTATAGGTTGATTATTAAATGTTGTATTTTTGATTAAATGTTTAGATGTCTGTAATATTGTCTGTACAAAGGCACTTATATAATGCACATAATGTAAACATCTAATATACATGTGTGTGTGTGTGTGTGTATATATATATATTTTCCCAGCAGTTAAAGCACGATTCACCAGAAAAACAGTCAACACATACATTTATTAAATACTATAATACAGATTATATCATATGCAGCACGCACAATATACTATGTAGTTTCACAGAGGACAATAAAAATATATAGGTTTCCAATACAGTTTCAACAAATCTTTAGTGTCTGTCGTTGTCAGCAGTGAGGCTGTGAGCCGAATACATCGATCAGAAGAGGGTTTTACAATTCACACGTCCAACATTTGTAGATATTGTTATATTATGAGCTACATACAGCGCCGTTCTGTGTAAGCTAATGTTACAGGGCATAAACAGCGATACAGAGAGATGATATGGCAGATATGATGGGGAGTTAGTGTCGATAACACTGGCACGTCAACCGATCGCTCTCGATTACAGCAGGTTACTACAATCACATCAGATCCAACAAGTGCTAGAAGTTCGGGACACCTTACAAAAGTTTGGCTGCTGGTAGAATAGCACATCTGTACACACGCACACATGTCTATATGGCAGATATCAGATATACGTGAACATCAGCACACACATCCCTGAACAGAGAAACTTAAGGCAAAAAGATCAATACGAATGAAACTCTGTCTGGTGATCGATTGTTTTTACAGTAAAGCTTCACTGAGTGAGGTACGTCATTGTGTAGCAGCTCAACAGATTATCTGAGTGATGAAAACATGCGGCTCACATTTCACCCCAAAATCAAAAGGAAGAAATAAATCCCTTTTTTTTTTTTCTTTTTTTTTTGCATAAAGGAAATTCAGCCTATTTTTAAGACCATTTCATGACATTCAAACCCTGTCAAATAAATAAATAACATCTCATTTTCATTCAATCTAATGTGACATTTACATAATACATTACAATAATGATATGCAAACAAACATGCAAAAATCTAAACGGTCTTAAAAATAGAATGCAAATATAATTTCTTATTTTTTTCCATTGTATTTAAAAGTGAAATATGAGGAAAAAGCTAATTCAGCCTACTTTTAAGACCATTTCTTGACAGGTAAGCACATTTTACCACCAAATAAATAAAATCTAATGTTTATTACTGTAATGTGGCAATACACACACGCATACATACACGTCATGGTAGTGTTCATTCTTTTTATCATTTAAATTAAATATTTATTACGATAATGATTTACAAACATTTTGCAAACATGCAAAAATATTAATGGTCAACACTCTACATTGCGAGTAAATCAGTCGCATATGCGACTTAGTCTTCACTCTGGGCGACTAAATTATGTCTAATATTAGCCAATTGCTAATAAATTCTCAGATTTTACTCGCCAGTGTGTGAGTTGGACGCTAAGTATAAGTTAAGCACAGATATATTTTATCTCATCGAACACACTGACTGAGTGCTTCAGAGTTTCACTCTCCGTCAACCGATCTGTGCTATTTTCCAGTTCATCTGAATGGATGCGCAGCGCACCTGTATTTGACGCACCGTAAACTCTAGTGTGAAGTGAGCTGAGGGTTTGTTTAATGACACTGAGCGTCTTCAGATTGCTAATGGAAGTCGGTTCACTTGTTCTCAATCAGGATCTGGACCTTGTGCACCAGCTCTCGGGCCATGAGCAGCAGCTTCGGGACGTCGTGATGCTCAGCCATTTCTAGATCAAGACACAAAGGACAACATCACATCACAGCGGCTCTGATTCTGCATGGCTGCTCAGTAGGGCTGGGCGATATGGCAAAATTGACCGATTTTTAACTAGTCAACTTGTAAATGTAACTACAACATGATTTAAGTAACTTTCTTTTTTAACCCTCTAGTTAAAGAAAATTCTATTCCGAGTGCAGCACACATGAAGTTGTCAACATGATATAAATGTTAAACAAATCACTTGTTAAATATCTTTGCAGAAAATACGCATGAACTACAACTAATTGTACAAACTTGTCTTATACCTATTATATGTTCAGAAATAATACGAGGAAAATGCTTTAAAAATCTCAAAAGTCAAGGTAATTCAAATTCAAAATGACTGAAGGTATAACACCAGTAGACTATTATTAACTATAAATGTTCTGTAAAAACAAAGAACAGCAGCTTTCAGTCATCAGTCACCGTGATGCAAACATGAAATATCAGACATACAGTAGTAGTTCTTTACAGGTTTTTAATTCGATTGCGCTGCTTTTCCATTGTTTTTCTGTGTAAACATGGACGTGTTTGACTGTTGCGCTCGTGTGTCTTGCATGAAACGGCTTTCTAAAAATACGCCGCTCAAGTTAGAAGTTAACTCCCATCTTCTTGCATGTTTTCCTCTTCCACTGCCACGTCACATCTTTATTAATACAAAAGCACATTCTGTGTGATATGAACGCGTCACACACGAGCGGTTAATCACGTGCGCCGACATGCGGTTGGATCGTTCTTTTCTACTTTACTGCTATCATTGGCATATTGTGATTCCTTGATTTCTAAAAAATAAAATCGTGGCAAAACATTAAATTCGAATTAATCGATAAAATCCGAAAAATCGGCCAGCCCTACTGCTCAGTGATTGGTCAGTCAGCTCACCGTTGAAGAACTTGATGATGTCGGTGAAGTCCATGTTGTTCTCCAGGATGATGTCGCGGTACAGCTCCACCAGCGCCAGCGCGATAAACAGCACAAAGTGCTCCGAGGAGGCGAACCGTGCGGCCCAGATGGTCTCCCACACCGAGAACACGTCGTCGTACACCATTTCTGAAAGAAAGACGAACAACAGCACTCACTCACTCTGACTGCAGCAGCATTGTCAGGTGTTTCCAACTCAATCCAAGCATCGGCTAAAAACACATCTCTTCTATCTTTATTTGACCCTCTAACTATGCACTCTCTATTCTAATTCTATTCTTTAAAAAAAAACTTGTCCCTTTTAGACTTGCACTCTGTTCATTTACTAACTGCTTGTTTTCTTAAAGAAAAAAAAAACTAACACTAGCTTCTCTATTCTTTTTGAATTCTATCTATTTGTTTTTCTTTTTATTTATTATACAATTAACGGAAGAAAAAAAACTTGCTACGTGTACTGCATTAAGCTAACTGAGACTTGTTATAGCACTTGCATTTCATTGCTCTTTTGTTGATTTTGATTGCTTTGTCCTCATTTGTAAGTCACTTTGGATAAAAGCGTCTGCTATAAATGACTTAATGTAATGTTTCCTAGTACAGGTGTGACAAACTTGGCTCACCAGTTTGGCTGGGTATTGACACAAATTTTCACAATTCGATTCGATTTCAATTATCAAGCTTGCAATTTGATTTGATTCTGATTCAATTCAATATTGATTATTTTGGCTATATATCAGGTACAGTACATGGCAAATTAAGAAAAAAATTCTCAACTAAAACTGTGAAATATACTGTACATGAGTCAGCTGGTGCTACATTACTGTAATATTAAAGGTTAAAATGAGCTGATTTGTATACAAACACTTAAATTACACTCAATGAAGTTTTATAATAAAGTTATAATATTAACTCTACAATTACATAATTATATTTCTACTCCAATTAGCTTTGTGAAATATAAACATTTAAATGGTGGCTTTATTTATTTCAACATAAATTAAACATTGAAGAACAGTCAAAATTATAATGAATATGTTATATAGTGCATCTATTTAGCAAAATGCTCCTCTCTAGAGTTAATTTTCTAGCTGACTAACGAGTTTATGGTCACTGGATATGTTTTTTCTGAGGTAATGTGACATTACGTGACATTGTTTACAAGCCGTTATTTTGACATATTTGCGCGGTTGAAACACTGATTGAGTGATTACATACTCTTTTCTTTTACCACACCTTCGAATGTTTATTCATGTTTATTTTGTCCTGTAATCAGTTCACGCGCACTACAGCGATCTGTCACTCCACAAACAGCGCCAAAATGGCATTTATTGTTTGAATATTATAATAAAATGTACAGAATTCGAAATCTGAGGCTTTGTTTCATATCAAAAGTAACTAAGCACAATGCTTATTGAGATTTATTGGATGGGATGTGCGCTACAGTGTTCAGTTTATTAACTGAAAACAGGCTAGACTAATGGATTCTTGGGATTTAAGAATCAATATTGTTTTGTAAAAATGCAAATAGATTAAAATTCGAGGAACCAATATTTTTACCCAGCCCTACTCGCTCACACAATATTGTGTTCACGAGAACAAGACGAGATATTTTAACACTATATTTTTTTATAAAATCTTTAATTACAAAATATATGACTGGAAAAATAGTATTTTACATTTAGTCATTTAGCAGACGCTTTTATCCAAAGCGACTTACGAATGAGGACAATGGAAGCAATCAAAATCAACAAAAGAGCAATGATATGCAAGTGCTATAACAAGTCTCAGTTAGCTTAACACAGTACACGTAGCAAGGGCTTTTATTTAAAATTATATAATAAATAAAAAGAAAACAGACAGAATAGAAAAAGAATAGAGCATTTTTAGAGAATAGTTTTTTTTTTAAGAAAACAAGTAATTAGTAAATGAATAGAGTGCAAGTCTAAAAGGGGCAAGTTTTTTTTTAAAGAATAGAATTAGAATAGAGAGTGCTAGAGTTAGAGGGTCAAATAAAGATGGAAGAGATGTGTTTTTAGCCGATTCTTTAGTTATTCAACAAAAGTCCAAAACGCAAAACAATGCAGGTGCATTGAATACTGAAATATAAAATGACTTTTAAAAAGAAAATGATACTCTAAATATGAAAGTAAAACCTCTAATAGGTGGCGGCAAATCATTTTCTTAATGAGTGAGTCATTGAGTCATTAATTTAAACGGCTGATCAATTCAGAAACAAAGCAACCGACTGTCATTATGAATGAAACATTGACTCACTTGATTTGTTTAAAACCGTGGATTCATTAAGTAATGAATCACCGCTGTGTGCTTACTTGCTGTATTTATTTGTTTATGATTTAATATTTATTTAGTTAGCATGTAATACTTATTCGCATTTTTGTTTTGTTTTGCAGTATAAACAAGATGCAAAATGAGGTTTTTGCAGTGCGCTCGCCTCTCTTGAAGTCCAGGAGGAACCAGCGGTAGCAGAAGTAGAAGTGTGTGTAATCGCCGTTCTGCTGCATCAGCTCGAACAGCTCCGAGTCCAGAATCTGAAGAGGTGTGACCGAATCATGACATGAGACACACACACAAAGTCTAAAACATCAGCAGAATGTGTTTAATAATGTGTGTTTAATAAGTAAACCTGGATGAGGGAGCGCATGTTGGCGAAGTGTGTGTCCATGGCTCCTCCGTGGGGGAAGTTCTGGTTCATTCGTTTCATGAGCTCAGTGAAGCAGCTGAAGGCCATGGCCTCTGAGTTACAGTCAAAGATCAATCAGAAACAAATAATCACTTGGCAATATAAAAGAGGCTTATTGCTTTAGTTTAAAATCACTAGTATCACAAAGTAGTGCTGTCAATCAATTAAAAAAATTAACTAGTTAATCACACATTTTTCTGAAATTAATCACGATGAATCCCACCTTACATTAAAGTTTTTAAATATACTTTTAGGGGCCGTTCACATATCGCGTCTTTTGCGCGCTGAAGTTCGTTATTTCAAATGTAGACGCGCGGCAGGCGCGCTCATAATGGCAGCGAAGCGGTCGCGACGCGCACGCGGTGCGACGCGCTCATTTTTTCCAGGCGTGACCGCGCCGCATCGAGATAAACACATTTCAACTTTTCAGAATGCCGCAAGCGCACCGCGGGTCATGTGACAAGAACCAACCAATCAGCTTCATCCTTTCCGTAACAACATTGAAAGCTCAGCCAAGATGAAGGAACAGCTGATCATAGCTGTACAGGGATAGCCATTTTTTAAATAAATTTAGTAGTAGAGCTACTGCAAGCGATTTTTAGTGCTGCAAATCCATTTACACTTTGCTGAAACTTCCGCGTCTTCATGGACAGCGCAGGTCAAGGTTGCTTAGCAACGGCAGACGCCTCCGGAGCGCAAGCGCCCGAACGCTTTGGGGAAAAAGCAGAAAGCGGCGCGCCTAGCGGTTTCCACGCGTTTTTAGGCGCGACATGTGAATGGCCCCTTATATTGCAATTTCACATTCAATCTTCAAATTAATGCACAAACAACAAAGACAGTATATTTTTAATAGTGCTGTCAATTGATTAAAAAAAATTACTAATTAAATCACACTTTTTTTCTAAAAATTAATCACGATTAATCCCACCTTACATTAGTTTTTAAATATACTTTTATATTGCAATTTCACATTCAATCTTCAAATTAATACACAAAAAACAGACAGAATATTTTTAATAGTGCTGTCAATTGATTAAAAAAATAACTAATCACACTTTTTTTTTCTGAAATTAATTGCGATTAATCATGATTAATCCCACCTTACATTAGTTTTTAAATATACTTTTATATTGCAATAATTTCACATTCAATCTTCAAATTAATGCACAAACAACAAAGACAGTATATTTTTAATAGTGCTGTCAATTGATTAAAAAAAATTACTAATTAAATCACACTTTTTTTCTAAAAATTAATCACGATTAATCCCACCTTACATTAGTTTTTAAATATACTTTTATATTGCAATTTCACATTCAATCTTCAAATTAATACACAAAAAACAGACAGAATATTTTTAATAGTGCTGTCAATTGATTAAAAAAATAACTAATCACACTTTTTTTTTCTGAAATTAATTGCGATTAATCATGATTAATCCCACCTTACATTAGTTTTTAAATATACTTTTATATTGCAATAATTTCACATTCAATCTTCAAATTAATGCACAAACAACAAAGACAGTATATTTTTAATAGTGCTGTCAATTGATTAAAAAAAATTACTAATTAAATCACACTTTTTTTCTAAAAATTAATCACGATTAATCCCACCTTACATTAGTTTTTAAATATACTTTTATATTGCAATTTCACATTCAATCTTCAAATTAATACACAAAAAACAGACAGAATATTTTTAATAGTGCTGTCAATTGATTAAAAAAATAACTAATCACACTTTTTTTTTCTGAAATTAATTGCGATTAATCATGATTAATCCCACCTTACATTAGTTTTTAAATATACTTTTATATTGCAATAATTTCACATTCAATCTTCAAATTAATGCACAAACAACAAAGACAGTATATTTTTAATAGTGCTGTCAATTGATTAAAAAAAATTACTAATTAAATCACACTTTTTTTCTAAAAATTAATCACGATTAATCCCACCTTACATTAGTTTTTAAATATACTTTTATATTGCAATTTCACATTCAATCTTCAAATTAATACACAAAAAACAGACAGAATATTTTTAATAGTGCTGTCAATTGATTAAAAAAATAACTAATCACACTTTTTTTTTCTGAAATTAATTGCGATTAATCATGATTAATCCCACCTTACATTAGTTTTTAAATATACTTTTATATTGCAATAATTTCACATTCAATCTTCAAATTAATGCACAAACAACAAAGACAGTATATTTTTAATAGTGCTGTCAATTGATTAAAAAAAATTACTAATTAAATCACACTTTTTTTCTAAAAATTAATCACGATTAATCCCACCTTACATTAGTTTTTAAATATACTTTTATATTGCAATTTCACATTCAATCTTCAAATTAATACACAAAAAACAGACAGAATATTTTTAATAGTGCTGTCAATTGATTAAAAAAATAACTAATCACACTTTTTTTTTCTGAAATTAATTGCGATTAATCATGATTAATCCCACCTTACATTAGTTTTTAAATATACTTTTATATTGCAATAATTTCACATTCAATCTTCAAATTAATGCACAAACAACAAAGACAGTATATTTTTAATAGTGCTGTCAATTGATTAAAAAAAATTACTAATTAAATCACACTTTTTTTCTAAAAATTAATCACGATTAATCCCACCTTACATTAGTTTTTAAATATACTTTTATATTGCAATTTCACATTCAATCTTCAAATTAATACACAAAAAACAGACAGAATATTTTTAATAGTGCTGTCAATTGATTAAAAAAATAACTAATCACACTTTTTTTTTCTGAAATTAATTGCGATTAATCATGATTAATCCCACCTTACATTAGTTTTTAAATATACTTTTATATTGCAATAATTTCACATTCAATCTTCAAATTAATGCACAAACAACATAAATATAGTATATTTTTAATAATTGTTTAATGGCATCTTTTTTTATAACTGAAGGCCAGTGTCACTGATACCAATACTACTGATGTCTCCTATGAAATAGTTTTTTTTCCCAATAATATTTAATCACTGACTATAGCCATTCAACACTGCAGTATAATCAAGAGCTAGCAATTGTAACATTTATTAGACTTTTAAAAAAATAACTTCTAATTTAAGTGAACTTAAAACAATCTTCACATAAACCCATTATAATAAATGCCATATTTACCCGTGCCCTTCAGCAGAAATATACAGAAATTGAAACTGAAGTTATCAAACACTAAATTCTGAATTAAATATAGATGAATCCTTACAGCTATAAAAGTGATTGATTTCCTTTTTTTTTTTGCTTTGATGAACAGATATCACAGCAGCTGGTTATTAGGTTGTTTTGGCTGCTATTACTTTAAGAGCTGCCTCTGCTGAACGTGACGCGGATCTGACACTCATCATATTTTCTCTCAACTCTCTTCACCTTTTCTGAACCACTTCAGTGTCAAGTCTCTACTAATGAACTGACGAGTTGAATCGGTGCTTAAGATGAGAGATCTTTTGGTAATATTCACAATAAATAATTGTCCCATCAAGTTATATATTTGTCCAATCATATTTCAGAGGCAAAAATAATTATTAATTTTTATATTCAGACAATGCACAGTAATATTCAATGGAGTAAATAAGGTAAAACTCAGAGTTAACGTACCATCATCCAGGATGACCAGCAGGGGCGCGAGTAAGTCACACATTCCCTGGACGTATCCAATGTCAAGGTGCTGCCAAACGTAACTTAACGCACAAAAAAACACGGTAAGATTCACTTACTCCACTTACTTTTAGATTTGGAAAAATGATACATTTTATTCAACAAAATGCATCAAAGGTGACAGTAAAAATATTTATAATGTTACAAAAAATTCTATTTTAAATAAATGCTGTTGTTTTGAACTTTCTATTCATCTGTGAATCCTGAAAAATAAAATGTATCACGGTTTCCACAAAGATATGAAGCAGCACAACTATTTTCAACATTGATAATAATCAGAAATGTTTCTTGAGCAGCAAATCAGCATATTAGAATGATTTCTGAAGGATCATGTGACACTGAAGGCTGCAGTAATGATGCAGAAAATTCAACTTTGATCACAGGAATAAGTTACATTTTATAATATATTCACATAGAAAATAGCTAATTTAAATTGTAATAATATTTCACAGTTTTTACTGTACATTTTGAACAAATAAATGCAGTCTTGATGAGCAGAAGAAACTTAAGAGACCATTATACACAGAATATAAACTATATAATATAAGATCAGCTTTATTTTACCTGCACATGATGTTGCGCAGTTTCTCCAGGTTGTCCGGGGTGAAATACCAGTAGTTTCTGTCACATCGATGGACGTCTTTGTCAATGCGGTGCAGATTAAGTGTGTAAAGGTCCACCAGCTCCTGCTGCAAAAGAAACGAGAAGACAAAATAAATCTTTGAAGATCTCACACTTTCATAGGAACAGTACAACCAGAATTGAGCCGAATCATTTATGACTTTCTATCTTTAGTGGAACACAAATTAAGATGTTTAACACGTTTAAAGGAGTGCAAAAATAAATTAAATTTGGGTCTGTGCCTCACACAATGCTACTGTATGATTTCAGAAGACTTGAAATATAGTACACAAGTCCTATTAGCTACTTTCATTATGCTTTTTTGGAGTTTGCTGTCTTGTGGTCACAAAACATAAAACAAAACATTTATTTATTATCCTCTATTTAACCAAGATAGAACCAAAGGAGAAACCGAATAATCAAAAATAGAACCAAATTCACAAAAAAGAGACATGGTATGTTTTTGTGTTTATTTACCAGTATCAAAGAGTAAAAAAACTGGAAGTCATAAACTAAACTAAAATAATATTTATTAAATATTTATTTTATTTTAAGGTCCCATTGACCTTGGCAATGGAAGTCATAAGCTAAACTAAATTTACTTACTTAATTAAATGTATTTATTTAAAAAAAAAAAAAAAAATTATTTTTTATTATTTTATTTTGTTTTAAGGTACCACTGATCTTGACAAAGTCATAAATATTTATTTAAAAAAAAAAAAATTTTTTATTTTTTATTATTTTATTTTATTTTAAGGTACCACTGATCTTGACAAAGTCATAAACCATGGTAAAACAAATTATGTATTTAGCTTAAAGTTTTCATTTCCAATTTATAAACTAAACTAATAAATAATTTAAAATATTTTTTTTTAATTTTTTTATTTATCCTGACCTTTTAAAATAAGTCCTAAACTACACTATACACAAAAAAATACTATACTATACTATACACTAAACTAAACTACTACTACTAAACTAAAAAAATAAATACATTTATTTAATGATTTATTTGTCATTTATCCATCCTTTTATCCTATTTATCCATCCGTCCTTATCCTTATCTTGACCTTTAAAATAGAAGTCCTAAACTACACTATACACAAAAATGAGACTATATACTATAATATACTATACTATACACTAAACTAAACTAAACTACTACTACTAAACTAAAAAAAATAAATAAATACATTTATTTAATGATTTATCTAACTTATTTACCCACCCTTTTATCCTATTTATCCATCCATCCTTATCATTATCTTGTCCTTTAAAATAGAAGTCCTAAAACTACACTATACACAAAAAAATAAAATAAAATTATATGTTTTATAGAAGGCTCAACGTCATTTTTTTGGTGAACGATCCCTTTAAAGGGGTCATCAGATGCAAAATTCACTTTTACATGTTATTTGAACTGAAATGTGTGTTGGCAGTGTGTGTACACAACCACCCTATAATGATAAAAATCCACCCAGTGTTTGTTTTTTTTTTCATTCCGATAAATGATAACTCCTTTCTCAAATCAAGCCGTTCTCAGTTTCTTGGCTTTGTGACGTCACACAGACCCAGGCCCCGCCCACGATTGTTGATTGACACTAGTGCTTTACCTTAGACCTACCCTGAGTGAGCTGTGAACAGTCCACCATTGTTTCGACGCTGGAGCAGATGTAGACAAGAATGTCTCTCCTAAGAGACTGAGGTGATTTGTTGTTGGATGTACCAGTGGATTACTGTTTTTGAAGGGAATGAGTCCCCCGATCTACCTAAATGTGTCTGTTCGCGCGAATCATTCGTGATCCTGCTTCACCTACAGAATGTTTTTTTTAAGAATCTTTGCAAATCGCCTTTCCTAATAATGTGCAAGTTTCATGATGAATGCGGCTAAAGTTTACCGTCTCTCAGAGAACTGCACGTCACTCCACGAAGAGAGGGGCGGGGTCAGCAGAGCTCATTAGCATTTAAAGGGACATGCACCGAAACGGGTTGCTGTGAACAGAGCTAAAAAGGGTGTTGTTTTACACTAACATTGAGAAATTTTAACCAAAGTATGTTATAGACTTTCCATTAAGACCCTAATGAATCATATCAACTTGTGGAAAATGGGCATCTGAGTGACCTCTTTAAACTGATTGTTTTTGGTGATATACCGAGTAGGTGGTCCCGATAGACGACACTGGAGACGCGATGTCGTTCTTGTCTCCTGTGACGGCTAGAGAGTCTGGTTTGGGGAATGAGTTGTCCATCTCCGGTTCCTCCTCGGAGAGTGCCGAGTCTGTTCCCTCCGGACTGGTGTTGATACTCGGCTCCATGCAGAGCTCCAGAGCCGGCGCCACGGGACGAGCCAAAGTCAGAGGCGTCCTGGACACGCTGCTCTCCAAGGACATATAAACCACCGACGAAGCAATCTCCTCCATTTCCAGCGCCGAGGGCGAGTCGTCGGACATGTCCGGAGATTGTTTCGATAGGGAGGTGATGGGGCCGCAGCTCTCCGACTCTGATTCGGTGATCTGTTTGATTATGGATCGACCGGCGTCCCAGCCGATTGTTTGCGGCGAACTGATGGCTTCATTCGGGGTTCGTATCACATTCTGTGCTTCAGATGAACATTCAGGTTTGTTTTCATCCGTTTGAGAGATTTTCGTAACGTCCAGCGACAGCTGTGGATCAGATTTGGCATCTTGGCCTTCATCCATTTTCAAATACGCTTCTGGGTCTGCTTTTGATTTTGGGTTTTCTTCTCCAGACGGAGAAGACGCATGTCCAGGATCTTTAATCTCAACCTCTTTTGACTCTGAGGATTTGGTTGTTTCTTCACCAGGATCCTGTTGTGATTCGTTCATGTCATTTTGTTCAGATTTTCCAGCACTGTTTTGCATTTTAGTTTCTCTTTCAGACAAATCAGCTGCGTTTTTTGAGTTTGCATCATCCCCTGAATCTGCCGCCTCATGCATTTCTGTCTTAGAGGTTTCTTCTGAATTCAAAGTCTGGAGTTTGTCTTCTTCTGAATTCAAAGTCTGGGGGGTTTTTTCTTCTGAATTCAAAGTCTGGAGTTTGTCTTCTGCATTCAAAGTCTGGAGTTTTTCTTCTGCATTCAAAGTCTGGGGTTTGTCTCCTTCTGCATTCAAAGTCTGGGGTTTGTCGTCTTCTGCATTCAAAGTCTGGGGTTTGTCGTCTTCTGCATTCAAAGTCTGGGGTTTTTCTTCTTCTGAATTCAAAGTCTGGAGTTTATCACTTTCTAAAGGTTTTATCGCAGCTTCTGAAGCAACGCACTCTGTTTGTGAAACCTCAGCATCTTCTTTGACCATGTCCTGAGTAGTGTAGCTGTTTTCCGGTCGCGCCTCTTTGGTCTTCTCTTCCGTCTGATCTCCTGACGGTGACTCTCGGCCTGCGGTTTTGGGCCCAGACTCTTGTGTGGATGTCTCCTCTGTGCTGGGAGAGCAGTCTGAGAGCGCAGAGGTCACGGAGAAGTTACGGGATGACGGGTGGCCGGAGTCTGGAGAACTGGTGCAGTTGGGCAGTGCGCCGTTTGGGATTTTGGGCTGCAGCTTCTCGTCTTTGGGTTTGGGCTCAGATTCGATCGGGTCCACCTCGTCTACAGAGCCGAACACCTGCGGAAGGAGAAATAGACAGGAGGAGGAAAGTCAGACAACCTTTGCAAAATCATTGCATTTTATTAAATGTAATTATTGTAATTATTTTATTAAATTAAAATAGTGTAATAATAATGACATAATGACAACATGAAAGAAGTTTGTTTGCAAATTTATTACAAATATTAAAATATTTTATTAAAAATAAAAAAACAAAATCGCATGTACATAAGTATTCACAGCCTTTGCTCAATACTTTGTTGAAGCACCTTTGACACAGCCATTTTCAGATCTCTCCAGAGATGTTCAATCGGGTTCAAGTCTGGGCTTTGGCTGGGCAACTCAAGGACATTCACAGAGTTGTCCCATAGCCACTCCTTTATTTTGGCTGTGTGCTTAGGGTCATTGCCCTGTTGGAAGATGAACCTTTGCCCCAGTCTGAGGTCCAGAGCGCTCTGGAGCAGGTTTCATCAAGGATGTCTCTGTACATGGCTGCATTCATCTTTACCTCGATCCTGACCAGTCTCCCAGTCCCTGCCACTGAAAAACAGCCCACAGCATGAGGCTGCTACCAGCACGCTTTACTTTTGGGATGCTACTTTGCAGGCAATGAGCAGAGCTGGTTTCCTTCAAACATAATGCTTGGAATTGAGGTTCATCAGACCAGAGAATCTTGTTTCTCACAGCCTGAGGGTCCTTTAGGTGCTTTTTTGCAAATTCCAAGTGTGTTTTCATGTGTCTTAACTGAGGAGAGGATTGAGTTTGGCCACACCACCATAAAGCCCAGATCGGTGGAGTGTTGCAGTGATGTTTGTCC